GGTGGTGGAATGGGTTTTGTTTGCTGTCGCCTATCTGCCCTCTGTCGATTTGGTAGAATTTGGTGTGGGTTTTGGGCTTTTTTGCTGTGGGTATTTGTTTACGGGTTTGGTATTAAAAAAAATAAAAATAAAAAAATTGGGCCTTTGTATTGGGCGGCCCAGATTTCAGTGCGGGCATTTGCCTGCACTGGGCCTAACAGGGCTCCGCCCCTGAGCGCGACTGTAGGAGGAAGGGAGGGAGTGAGATAGGGTTTGCCGGTTTGGAATTGCTTGGATACAAACCAATAACCATTAAACCAAGCAGCCCGCATCCAATGGATTGTGCATGATTTTTTATTCTTTCTTAAAAAAATTGGCCCGATCCTCTTAACTATCATCTTCCCTAGTCCATCTGCAATCCATCCTTGCGCCTGTGCTTCAAGCTTCCTCCTTGGCTCCTGGTGGCGAGTGTAAATTCCGACAAAATCAGCACGGGCAATCGTGCCCCCTCGTCGGGTGTTGGCTCTGCCAATGGAAGCATGCATGTTATATTAGGTTAAGTTAGTCCAATCATTTTCCCGTTTAAAGCTATCCTGGATGCCTTTTCTTGTTTGGGCTTAAATTAGAAAGCCGGTCCCCCATTTGCCAGCTGCCCATGGGCGAATCTGTTTCCTATCTCTCCAGAGCTGACAAAAAAACTTCCACTTGTCATAGTATTCACATTTATGATTTATGCAAGAAATGTACTGTCCACCAGGAATATGCCTTTGCTGCCACTGTCCCATTTGCTTTTTCTACTTTTCTATTTATATTTAAAGAAAATTGGTTAGGTCGAATGTATATTGACAAATCAAATTCATTATGCCATTGATGCAGCATCGTCTCAACTCAGAACCTACCCCTTCCTAGTGGGACGGGGTGGTAATAGAACTATTATGTGAACCTGTGTGAGCAAAGAACGTCTATAGACTCTGTTTCAAGAGGGAAATAGAGCAACTGGAGGAAATAATCTATTCTGGAGCTGCAAACCACGAACTACATTATGTTGACTCTACCAGATAGAATAAGAACCGAATTTTTTCAAGAAAAGAGTTAGCAGAGAAAATTCTTCAAACGGAAACGATAATTTTATAATAAAACTGAAGGTAGGTGACGTAGTTTATGATAGAGTACAAGCCCCCTATGTCATTGTAGCATACAACTTCAAACACCAAATCCTGTCAGTCTCCCAAAGGATCATGGTATCTAGTAAACGTTTTAAGGAAACTAGAAATTAACCCGTGCAGATTCTTAGTAAATACCAGGTATAATCCTGTAGGGAACCTTCTCGCAGTATAATTTCCAATATTTTCCATATCTGCAAACAAAAAGATTCTGGTCAAAATTTCCATTACCGAGGAGCTACAATCAAAACGCTGACCGTTATAAGCACACTTCTGGTTCTTAGAAGGTTCAAAGGTAAATCTGTTCACAGTGGTGGGCAAACTGAGACAGTTCAAAAGGTCCCTGGTGTAAGTTAACTGTGCTTTTGTAATTACACTAATAGTTAAAAGTTAAAAAAAAAAAATGATGACAAAGCTAGTCAGGGGAGGTAACTAAAATTTGATTAAAGTAAATCGTTCTAAGTTAAATGGATTGAAAAATTTTAGAGTCGCAATTTAATCACCTGACATACTCCTATAAGATGTTTAAAAGAGAAAAAGGTTGATTTAACTTACTTTGACCTGCAACGATCATCGTCTCTTTTAGCTCGGTCAAAAAGGAGAATGGTGAGAAACACTACATAAAAGTAAGGCAGAAACTGCAAAGAAATAGAGGCAGCAAGGTCAGGAATTTTTAATTAGTTCATTTTGGGCCAAAAGGAGAACAAATCATTTCTAGTGTCACATGCACCATTTGCTTACATGGTTAAAAAGAGCTGGTAAAGTCCAGAAAAAGGCTGCTAATATTTCAGGGACATAATGGAAGTGACGAGATAAGCCCCACCTGTATATAAACAACAAGTAGTAAATACCTTTACATGCTCAAATTCTCCAGTGACCCTTGTAACTCTTGAACATCAACCGTTACTCATATAAGACTAAGTTCTGACCAGGTAATTAGAACATAATACCATCACGGACAGACAGTAGAAAGGACATACGCAAAAAGAACCAAATAATTAATTTACAATTTACATGCAAGCTGTGCATATGAAGCGAAGCTAAATGTAGGCAAATGAGTATCACCATAACTTTTAACATTGCCTTTCAATATGCAGTTTCTTACTATATTATGAAATATCACTGAGTTGTCTTTGGCCAACAAAATATTCTACATTTCCAGATGAAGTCATAAAATTCAGATAGACAAGTAATTAATACTAACGACACCATCATACGTAGTTTTTACTGTTGTTCAACAAATGCATATGAAAATAACTTACCATCCTGATGTCAGCAATAGACTTGATTTTGTCTCACCCGTAGTTGTTGTATACGAGGCATGAATCTATTAAAAAAAGTGAACCAATTTATTGTTAAACAACAAAAATAATGCAGAATTGATGCAACAGCCAATTTAGCATAAAGTAGGCTCGAGAGCCAAGCAGCCAGCCACCAGAAGTCAATGACGCTACCATTTATACCTTTGACGGAGCTTTCCCCCAAACCAAGGCTTTGCCATTTGTTCTGCGGAATTCTTGCCTTTGCCTGTCGCAATCATAGTTGATATATATGCACAGAATGCCTGCTACAAGAATATAGAGTGCCAGCTGGAAGAAGAGAAGAACTCATTAGCAACATTCCTTTAAATTTAAATATATATCTTTAGACTATGTTTAAGATCATTCTCGTCCAGTGTGTTTTGAGTCGGGTGTTTAAGGGCCTGTTTGTTTTTTATTCTCAAATTCTACAGTAAATCAATTCTCATTTTCAACCACACATTTTTCAATAAAATAATATTTTCCACCACATCAATAATTTTTTCTTCTTTTTCAACCAGACATTTCTCATAATATCACTATTCAAAAATCAATTCTTCCCCCAAAAATCCCTACCAAACAAGCACTAAATGTCCTCCCCACAGTGACACTGTTTTTGGCTCTTATAAAACTCGCCATAATCTAGTGGAGACGTTAGAACTGTTTTGAGGATAGCATATATCCAGCTGGTTCAACAACCATATGTTACCACAAAGATCTCTATATTTAACTACAAAACTTCCAGGAGGTTACTGTACAAAAAAGAAAAGAAAAAAGACGAAACTTCCAGAAGGTTAGGGCAGGTAGATGTCCTAATTAAAGAATCCTTATTCCTGGAAGCACGTATTGGCCCGCACCAACTAAAAAGACTGTCTAGATGGAAAACAGGGAAGATGCTGGAACTTCTGAAATCGTTACAGTTAGCCTTTTCAATCACTGTTGCTAATAAAATTCAGAAGAAAAGAAGCCTAAAAAGATGCCGGGACCAATTTCTATAACAAATAAAGCCGAAGTCATTTCCATTTATTCCTCTGTGTAAGATAATTCAGTCCCCATGTAAAGACCAAAAAGGAGGATACGAATTATACATCTCAAATAGATAGTGCTCTAATAGTTTCCATGAAACAACCAACCACAACTATGACCATGTCTAAACTTGGGTCGGGAGCCCTGAGAGGAACTAATTATCTTGAGTTCCAGTGAAGGGAAACGACTATTTTGACTAATTGGTGGACAATCAATAATAAAAATTCAAGTACATAGAAGCAGATATTTAACTTCAGGAAAAAGGAGAAGAGATACTAAATATCAGGTGTGAGCTACCTGCACTCCAAGATTCACTGGATGGTTGACAAGGTACATGCCAGGCGAAGTATACACAGACGGAACCCATACCAAGCATCCCCAACAGATATAAAATCCAGCTGCAAAGACAATGTTGTGAGTTGCAACTGTTGCATTAAGCGTCNCGATGCAACAATGGATTTCTTTTCAACCATAACTTCTAAACAGAGATCAATGCAACAAACACAAATGGCCCAATAACTAAATAGAGCCCAAATGAGTTAGAGCCAATAAAATCCAACAGGCCCAATAACAAAATTAAGCCCAAATAAAATAAACCCAATAAAATTCAAATAAACCCAATAACACAAATAAGCCCAATAACAAGTGACACAACCCACTTCTCAAACACAACCCAACACAGGTGGCCCAAACCCAATTGATATAATCCAACACTGTCGGCCCAAACTCCTTCAACCAGGCAACAGAAGCTCCAAAAACTCACGATGCCGGCGACGGGAACTCCAGAAACACGCACGCACGCAGTCGACCAGCCACGAATGCTCGAAGATTACTTCGAGCCCACACTATGAACACAGGAATCACGTCGATTCCACGCTGAAGACGCCCGATCGAAAACGGCGACACTGACCCAGGAGATGTACGCAGTCGATTGGCTACAAGTTGCTCAAAATCACTTCGAGCCTACCCACAGGACGTCGGAATCCCTTCGATTTCGGACTGTAACCTAATTCACCGATTCTTCTAAAGGTATGGCTCTGATACCATGTGAAAGAATATTGTGAAGAATATTTCTTATATCTCATATTGGAAACGGTGATACATATATATACAAGGTCTAGAATTCTATCTTAGGAAAGTATATAAATTAGGATCCTAGAATAAGGTAATTAACAACTAATTACAATCTATAACAAGTTGCAACTGTTGCATTAAGCGTC